TGGAATTCCCCTTGTGGTTTAAGCATAGATCTTAAATTCACAGGCTTTACATTTGGACCTGGTGTAAAGAAGAATGGAATGTGTTGACAGTGACATGCAATAATTGAATTACTGCCTTTATCAGATTGTCATGAACTTTGATTTCCTCTCCCTGGATGAGTACACACTGCCCATTTAGTAAAGAAGTAGAAATTGAAAATACACAGAAACACTTCAAATGCTGAAATCAATTAGTAGAAATGACTTAACTGTATATGATGACCGAAATGTTCTCAGTAAAAAATCTTGAGGTTACATACAAGTGTGCTGAGTATATCTAAAAATGCAAAACACACAAAAATACAATAGGGTTGGGAATAAATAAAGAAAAGGTCATTTCATTACACTGCTGTCTCCTTGGTCCTGATAAAGCCCTGTTCTAGTGACACAAGCACAACAACAAGAACAACAAGAACAACTAAAACGATCAAAGATTTCAAAATCACTCAACAAATGAACAAGTCTGAACTTTAAATTAGGTGAAAGGAGTAATAGCCCCCCGGTTTGGTAAAATCAATCTTTTTTTTTTATACATGAATTGAAAAAATATTTTTTTCACATTGAGAGGGAAAATAAATATTTACTGTACAAGAAATGACACCAAACCCGTGCTAAAATTTGAGAGGGATCCTCATCTCCCATTGTATACAATCCCAAGAAAAATCACCCACAATCCCACAAAAAAGTTGATACTTTTTTGAATACATTGTAAAAAAACACTTCAATTCCAAGTTATTGATAACCAATTCTGATGGTAAGAAAAACTGTAGAAAAATAAAGTACCATTAATCTCAAGATTAAAACACCAAATGCCCTTGAAAATTTTCTCAAAATCTCCAGAGAAATTGGAGAGAAAAAAATCCACAAATGCTGTACTTTATTTTCTTTTTTTCTCTTAAATTTCCTTTTTTTGTGAGTTCAGTGGTTGATCTTTTGGCAGTAAGAGGAACAAGATGGGGATTGTGGGGAATACTGGGAGGGTTCTTGGGAATGCTCTGGTGACTGTCTCCTTCAGGCCGAACTCCATGCTCATGGAGATTCAAGTTCATAGTTCAAAGTTGATACTCATTCCCTCTCCTGTGGTCTGGTGATTTACGTCGCAAAGGCAGTGCATTTGGGTCTTATGGCTGGGGGGTGCTGAGGTAAAATGATGTGATGGCGACACAAGAAAGGAGGGATAAGTGGGGGCAGCTGAGAGATGGCAGAAAAAAGAGCAAGATATCAGATCAGAGCATGATGACACCAGCACATTATGACATGTGAGTACAGACCTCTTGGAATAAATTAGGTAAAAAATAGAAC